GGAAGAAGACCTTTCTTTCTGTCTATTCAGATTTTTGATACAGTCCCTATTTCTCATTTTTTTTCAGGTTTCAAGGGTGAATTGGCGGATTTTTCAGTTTTTGTGGTAAACAGCTAAGTTATAGTGCTGCTTGTGAGCTTGAAAGTTTGTATATTGTCAATTTGTGTGTGATGAATCCGTCTATAAACTTTATTTTGGGGGTTCATTGAGAATTATGCTGTGAAAAAGTTGTATGAGGGTGAATTTCGAGTTTGAGGGGTGTTTTTGTCCTACTTTCTTTTTTTGTGTGTGTTTCAATTTTGATATAGTCAAGTGTCTCTTTTCCTCCCCTTTGGGAGCCTTTTAGTTAGCAAAAATAATTACTAGATTTTTAGAATAAGCTTTTATCTTTTATTATTATCATTCAGGTAAACAACTAATGAGAGTTGGAATTTTATAATAATAAGACCCTTATTCATCTTTTAATTAATTTCTTGTTGAGTTGTAAGCTCATTTGCTCATTTGGAAGGTGCCTGAGAGCGCCTAGATTGTGCTATTTTTGAAGTTATTGTCCTATTTCAGCCTGGTTCTTATTAATCCAAAGACTTGAAGGTCTTAAATTTAATTCATCAGTAATCAAAGTCCCTGTTTAAGAAGGGCATTTCTTTCTTTGTTTGAAGTCTTTCAATTCACCATCTCAAGACTTATTCTTCTTTTGATTGTGTGTGTTGTTGATTTGGTCTTCATTCTTCCCCTTCTTGGCTCTGCTTTCAGCTGTGTACTGAAAGAGTTCTACAGCGTTGGTGCACGTTTCCAAAGCTTCTGCGACCAAGGTTTCCAAATTGCGCATGAGGAGCTTATTAAATTAAAAGCGCCCTCCATGTCTTCTACTTCAAAGTTTCAACCCTCAGGCCCACTGGACTTTGCCGCCAACTTTGCCTTTACATTTGGCGGATTCTATAATAAGCCACATACTGACAATGATAAGGGGAAGGTGTATTGCTTGTGGTATCCTATTGATAGTGAGAGCGGTAAGATAATGACTGAATGTGAAGGATATGATCTTGGCAATGGCTGGTTTGTATTTCCCAAATATAGAGTTGCTTTATATATTTTGTAATAGTAAAATAGTGCCAAGATTATAGCCAATGTTCTTGCAATGAAACAAGCACCAACAGATTAGTTTGTCTGTGTGAAATGAATATAATATGTACTGAATATGTAGAGTCACACTCTTCCTAAAATATTTGTGTATTCATTTGGTCCACATATTGTTTAACTGAGGAGTTGGTAGATGTAACCACCTCCTCCTCAGATGTAACCACCGGAGAGATGATGTGGTGAGTAGAGAGGAAAAACTCTGCGCCTCTTGCCCACATCATAATTCAGATCTCACTCGTGACAGCAATGCGTGATATGTCACTAGATGTGTGAAATCTTCCTATCCGCACCTGTTGCTCTCACAACTCTCAAGACATGGAATTCTATGTACCGTCGCAAGCTTAGGTAACATTTACAATCTTATATAATCAATATGTATAGCAGAGTTTTTCAGTCACTTCTTGTAAGATATATCAACTATGTTGACCATGGCTATGGAGAGTAAGTCATTTAACCAACTTGTTTGCAAAGGAAAGGTTTCTAATTACAATCAATCACTCTTATCAAATTCCAGAAACTATGATTTCCTACATCAAATCCAGCACCGATTGATCTATGGACCAAAGATATTCTCCTCAGACAAGGGAACTATGTTGAATCACTGTCAATCTTACTTTCTGAAAACTGTAGTGAACCTCCTGGTGAATTTATGATGGATCCTTCCTACAATAATCTTAGGCCTGATATGGATACTTTAGTGAGATTCTACTCTCCAAGCAATGTAAAAATATTGATAGATCAGTGCCCCAATCTTTCTGCTCTGAGGATGGAACAAGGATATCTTGAAGCATCTGGAGACACAGTAGGAATAGGAGCTTTTATAACAGGCAGCCTAGTTCCACTATTGAAAAATCTCATAGGAATTTGGCACTTGACACTAGGTGGTCAATATGGCATGAGATTGTCAAATGAAATCTCAAGGAATGTTGTTGCAAGTCTACCTTGGATTGAGTTGCTCACCTTATGTTATGGCTATACAGCATCTGGGGGTGACACAAGGTTTTGTGACGAGTCTCTTGGATCCAATCTATCCAAACTCAAATCCTTATCACAATTGCATATATATGGAATTATTGACATAAATGCAAACTGTTGTCTTTGTGATTGGCTAAGAATAATAACTGATGTTAAAATTTATTGTTGCTAAGTATAGCACATCAGATCATACACCACCTTGCACCCTTGTACAGAAGCTCAGCCTTCAATTTGGCTCTGAGAAACCCAATGACAACTTCAAATTCAATCCTAGCTGGAGTCCTTGTTTCTCCCTTCCACAATTAACTTCCTTGAAACTGTCAACCAGCAATGTGCACTTCCTGGACAGCTTTCAGGAATGTAAATCTATATGTCACCTAAAATGGACCTACACTACATCAGAGCATTTCCAGAGGCTGAACAAGATGCTACTCAAAGCTGCTTGGCCCCAGCTCAAGGAAATATTTGTACTTTCTCACTGGAGTATGGAGCTACCTGATCTTGATCCTCAAATACAAGAGATGTCAGCTCCCGAGCTCTTAAGCATAAGAGCCAGAAGAGCTACAAGTCACAGAACATATAAAAAATATTCTCATTCTTTTTCATTGTTATATAATACTAAACTACCTGCACAAAGAACATTATAATAATTACAACTTACAGATTTAGTTTCAAAGGTCGTGACAATTCTATAGGTGCTGAGAGCTGAAGAATAACCCATAGAATAAAAAGGGTATCTAAGGATATTCACTCCTTTTCAAATTAGCACTGAAATTAAGAATACACAGAAAAGACGTTCATCCCCAGAGAGAACTATAGAAAGGAACAATTAACTAGTCTTAGCATCACTAGTCATGAGAAGAAGGCTAGGTCGGGGAAGTGACTATACTATCAAAGAAAGATAATATGAAACTACCGACCCGTTCTTGATCAAGTTAATAGTAACTACAAAAAGGAAGAAGTAACCTTTTTTACTAAAGAAAGCTAGAGTAAGTAGATTCACAAACTAACAAAGATCCTATCAAAATACATAAAACAATCAGTAACGCCAAGAGACAGCTGAGGAAAATAACTACTCACGGGAAGAAACGGAATACATAACTTCCTAAGTAATATGTAAGCATATTTGAAATTACTCAAAACATTTGAAACCTCCTGGGCGGAGTAGAACGAGATCGAGATAGTAAGATGAACACCGTAGAGTACCAGTTACTAGAAGGATGAAGAGAAGAGCATAAATACCTAGCTAGTAATCAGAGGAAATGGAACCTCACCTGATTTTACCAACACCAAATTTTCCCGTTTTAGAACTATCTAGCCTGGAAAATATCTAATAGTTTTCCAAAATAAAAGCAGCTTGTAAGAAGTTTGCAAAGAATAGTCTTATTAGTATTTTTTTGACACACTGTTAATTTAGAATCAGTGTCAGCCTCTTTTTCTTTTATCAAACTTCCAAAACTATCCATCAAGGAACTCCACCTGGTATAAATCCCCGGTTAGTCCTAGTTTCTCTTCTCATCCACTGGTCAAGGACCCCGGTTTTGCAACACTCTTGTCGGCAAGATCCCTGCAGATTTTTGAATCTCAGGCTGCTCCTAAACTCTAGAGTTTTTGAGATAGAGTAAAGCTCAGATCTTACCTGCCAACATCTGCTAACCAGCAGTGAGCCTGTACAATCTAGAAGTTAGTATATCAAGATACTTGAGGACAGCATTAGCTAATTTAATTTGATCTCTACCACACTTTTGTAGTATACCTTAAACTATTCCCCGTAACCAGCAGAATAATCAGTCAGGATCCTGGTACCAGTTGATTGACTAGACCAACTTGTACATTACATTACTAGCCACCCTGACAAGAGATGAGGATGAATTGCTGTTATTGGAAAAATATTGTAAAGAAGCCAATCTTAGGGATCCAAGAATATGGCAGCCTTATGAGGGGTGATTAGAATTTTGTGAGTGAAGTTGGTTTACAGTGAATAGGATATTATCATCTCTGATTCACAACCCATCATGTTTCTCCACTGTTCACAGTTTACTGTGGCTTGTCTTTGCTGGCAGTGATGTTTGTGTTCTTTGTGCAATCAAGGGTGAGTGGAATGAACACCCGGCAGATCAACTTTTGTGACCTGGTGTAGTCTTCTCTATGTATATATATATTCTTTGGAGACTGTTCTCGAATCTTTAGCAATTTGAATCATGTTTATCCTGATATTCAATCACTCACCTGGAGAGCAAAAAGAACCAATACAATTGTAGTACTCCTTTTACCTCTCCCTCTTCTTCATTTGTTCCGATACATCCACCAAGATAGTTTACAGAGACTACAAGGCCAACAAGTTTATAGAGAGCCAAAATTGAATGGGTCATTCAATCTTGTTGAAACCAATGTTTGACAATGTAAACATAGACAAAGTATAACATCAAAATATTGACTGAGCCATGAAACCAATGTTGGACCAGCTCCGCTCCCAGCAGCTGAAGCGTAGCTTTTTGTGGCGCGCTTCGCAGGCTCGCTGCTGCTGCGAGTCTAGGGCTACACTGTGTGGCTTTGCAGGGTGCCAAAAATTTGGCAACGCTATCGGCCGCTTTGGCCTCATTTGAATTCTCTGATTTCTCAATCTCTTTTCATTGCTAATTTCCATGTTGGGTGTTTCATTACAATCAACAACCACTTCATGATGTACACCTTCATGTATATATTTTGGTGTTGTATCTGACAAGAAGGTAATAGATCTGATCAAGAATGAGTCGTCTGAAAAAGGGGATGAAATCAAATAATTGTCATAACCTGAATTAAAATGATGAAATTTGACATTAATGAACAACAAAAGGTAATCACAATCATGTAGGTCTCTTACCGTTACCGGTGCAGAAACATATTCATTGTTGGCGAGCAATGGAAAGCATCATCCCCTTCAGCTCGTCGTCACAATCCTCGACTTGCGCGGAAGGCATAGATTCGTCGAAAAAGACTACTTGGATGTTCAAGCCGTCATCATCGCTCGGTGGTGGTGGTTTGCTGACCTATCAATCGGTATTGTTTCCAAAGAAAGTTAGGGTTTTGATTATAATGTGTAAAAGAGGAAGTAAGACTTACAAGTTTGACTGGGTTGGTAATGCAACAGGTTGCACTGAGGTCTGATACAAACCAGTTTTTAACGTATTTTGCCGAGGTGCTGTCAGAATGATATTAGCCTCTGAGGATAAGCAAAATCAGCTCGGATTATCAGGCACTCACTGCTGAAAGACCGCCTCTGTTACAGTCGCCTCCACAATGACGAGCATCTGTGTGGAATGAGTCAATCAGATAGTCAACTCAATGTGTTCCAGCTTCTCAGTTGGTCTATCAAACACCGTACTCACAGCTATGTTTTTGAAGTAAGCGCATGAAACTTGGTTTGACACCAAGTGGGTGATAACTCTAATCAAGTTGCCAGCGATCAATATCAGTCAATAGACGGTCTTAGTGAATTATAGGAAATATCGCGTAAAGCAAAAAAGGGATGGTGACTGACTTCCTGTAATCTTGCACATCAAATTCATGCACCTTACCGCTAACACCACGACAAGCTGCAGGGTTCCTCGGCGCTGTTGTGCGCTTGGAAAGCATGTTTGAGTGAATCAATTCCAGACCAGTCAAATCACGTCCTTGTAAGTTCCCGATTGGTTCAGGATGACCCATTACAAACAACACATGTAAAAGGGATCCAAGAAGAATCAATGATCGCATGATGACAAGAGCTGGGATGAGGATGCAACAAGAAGTTGGAGAGGAGTGATTCTATAGAGCAGTAAAATGTGGATCTCGTAAAAATGATTTGAGAGATGAAAGGATATTTTGCCAGACAGAAGTCCGTTGCTTATATAGATATCCAGACGTCTTCAATAACTATTTTTATCATCAAAAAACACAGTGAGAAAGGAAACGAGGACTAAGCTTTCCCGCAGTGAAAAATCCTGGGGCTCGGGTCACGAGCAACAGCCTGGGACTTAGTTGAGTTTACTAATTTTAGAAGCTTTTAAGAAACCAAACGTCAAAAATTACCACGCACAAGATAGTTACAGTCGCCGCTCGATATAAGCACACATCGAGTTAGCATATTTCGCTATAAGGGTCAAATTTCAGTGAAACAAAAATGCGGGGGGCTTAATTGGAGCACTTTAGCATATAGGCTAAACGCATTTTTTTTCTGGAAATATGCTTACAAGGAACGAGAAAGTGTGGCTTTATAAGCATAAGTAACCACTCTCAAGTCATGTATGCTTATAAAGAGTGGCCTAGAAACATCTAGATTCCAGACAGGTGAGGAAAAAAACAGTAGGTATGCCAGTGGGACTCGAAAGAAATCAGTGGACCCAAATCCTGATAGCAATTCTGCTTGACTAAGACCCAGCCATCAAATTTTATCAAGTCGACCCTACACCACTTTTGTTTCAGCATTCTATCCTGCTCTACATCCTCAATCAAAATGTCTTCAATTGATAAGCAAATAGATGAACTCGTGGATGATCATGGACCCGACTGGAGAAAGCACATCACAGCCTTACACTCGCTTCGAAATGATGTTAGTACTGCCCGCTTCAAATTTGTGAATCAAAAATGTATCACCGACTTCTTTGCCCCAAGCCTATTCCATGAAGGTGAATAAAACCAGATGTCTTAAATGTTTGTGTCGTTGTCCTAGACATACACTCTTATGCTTTGTATGCCCTCTTATGCTTTGTATGCTTTTTTATTATCTATGATGTATCTATGCCAATTACAATAAAAATCATATGCAATTTTGACTTTGATGAAATAAGCATTAGGGTCAATTTCTTCCCAAATATGCTTTTATGCTTACTTCGAAGTGATGCATCGCTCCCTTTAAGCATCAGGTATTCTGCATTTAAAAGGTTGCTTATATCGAGCGGCGACTGTACATAGGTTCTAACTACAGTCGTTCTCAGAAATGTTGGAAAAATGCAAAATCTCGAGCTGAGCTCGGGGTCCGTGCGCTGAGCAGGGACACGCAGATACAAACACTGACAAAAACTTTGATTTTGACAGGTATCTCAAGATGAAAATTCGTTTACTTTCCATCATACCTCGATGACCACACACCTATCTTGCCAATGGCCAGGCTAACGGACTGATCTCTTCAGAAAAACGGTGAAAACGTATGATTTCATGGTTAAGGGATTGTAACACGAGTTGAGGATCAGAGGAAGGATGGCATGGAGAGGACACAAGGGAGTTGAGGTTGGTGAAAGGGACACTGATCTCCACTCGACAGCTGCCATGACTTTTCCGTGACACATGTCATGAAAAAGTCACCTCCTCGGGACCACGACCTCAGCTCGAGATGTTGGATTTTTCCAACATTTCTGAGAACGACTGTATTTGTCTCTCATTCAAGTTTGTCTAGTACAGCGTGTTTTTATGCCCTAGGGCCAGGTATCGCACTATACATACATTCATATAAAAAAACAAAAAAAAACTAAACTCAACAAAGTCCCACGCTGGCTGCGTCTCGCACGCTTCGAGCGCAGCAAGCGTGCGAGACGCAGCGTGGGACTTTGTTGAGTTTAAAAAAAAACACGCAGTCTGCTTTATCGAAGTATAGCTGTCAGTCATATACACTCCACATCTCACGAGATTGAAGCCTTGTGTAATTTATTATTTCATATATCACTTGCTGAGAAAGCTAAAAAAAATGAACAAGCTATAAAACAAAAGAAAACCAAATATTCTCATCAAACTTAAATGCTCATGATTTTTTGAAAAAAGTTAAATTACATTCTCCCGGAAAAAAATTAGTTCAACCATATAAGTATGTAGTAAAAGAAGAAACCATCGTAAATCTTAAAGATTACCAAGATCCTTCAAATCTTTGTAAAACTGAATGACTATCAGCAGCATCTTTTTGACTTTTCTTTCTCATATAAAAGATTGGACAATCTTTCGCTGTACAAATCACATCTTGATGTAATGATCCTTGACATCTCTATTTCCAAATTGTTTCCAATAACAAACACACAAAACTCAAGTCATTATCATTGAAATAGATCAAGTTTCTTCCCTTTGAGAAGTAAGATTCTTACCTGACATTGGGTCCATAATCTAGAATAAGCGGTCTCAAATCCTTGAGTAAGTGCCATTTGTTTAGTATACAATTCAGCCGTTTTAGGTCTACAGTTTTTACAGACAGCCGTATCTATCAAACCATTGAAAACATAATGATTAGTCTATGCAACTGACCTAAGAAAATGAAATCCAAACCAAGAATTGACTTACTCATCCCCTTTCCTGTACTCTTTGGTAAAGGTGTTCTACATCCTAAACAAGTTTCAGTACGTTTGACAAATCCCATTAATCCTCCTTGCGTTGGTGTTGCAATCGTCACAATCCTAGTATGATCACCCGCCACTAAACCAATCACAAACGGAACCCACCACCAATCATTAGTATACAATTTTCCATAAATTTTCAGATGTCTAATTCCGTGTATCAATATAACAAAGGGAGTACTTACGTAGGGATGAAGCTTTCTCTCCTAGAATTGGCTCGAAGATTCGCATTAGAGGTTTTGATAATTGATTCTCAAGGTAATACTTGGTATCAATTGGTAAATTGTTCTCTAACACATACAGCGGATCTTCTGATTTCTCATACGCCCTTGCATCTGATCAAATTTCATATCGGAAAATGGTTGAACTTACAGATCAGCTCATCGTGGATGTTGTTATTGAACTTTGTAAATTGACTTTACCTTTGGGGCCCTTGATGATGACATAAGCGACTCGATCTCCCAGCGCTGGTGCACTACCCGCATCACGTTTCTTCATACGTTTCGCCAATTCGACATGAGCCTGTTTAGCAGCATAATCTGATTTTGCTAACGCTTTGGTGATCACTAACTGAGATAAATCAACTTTATTCTGAAGTAAATCAGCAATGACTTGTTTTGTATAATCTTCTGCACCTTGAACGTCACGATCAATTAACATCTTCTTTAAACAAGTTTCAATAACAGTTTGAACTAATCTACAATTATCCCTACGAACTGTCTTTGAAGATCAAGAACAAGGAGTAAGAGTCATTAGTAAAAAAACTTATGAATCTTGTAAGCTTCTTAAAATATTTTCTTACCTCAATACCTTTAGCGTCCATCTTATCATGTTTTTCTGGTTTTGTCCAATACAATCCAGCATATCTTTTTTTACTAATTAAAAGATAAGGAAAGTAGACTTTTTCAAATTCGAGTTTGATAGGTTTAACAAATTTCGTGCTGACTAAATCAGCCGCTTCAGCACCTATCAAATGTGATCCACAAAAACAATCAGTGATTGTCAAATCGTTTTTGGAATCGGTTCAAGTTGGACAATACCTAATCTCATGGATGTTGCAAGATCCTTGCAACCAAATCGAACCATCACAGAATCAGTATCTCCATAAATTACTTGTGCATCGTGTTCATATCCATTTGCTTTGGTGTAAGTAGCTTCAACTTCCTATTGGAAATAACACCTCACGTCAGTTTTTTTATGCCGATTCAAAGAAAGAAACTACCACCACAACACCAACTAACCGCCTTTGTAGTTTTAATCATCTCTCTTCCAAAAGCCGTCACACTCATTGGAATAGGCAAACAAGGTAATTTTCCAACAGTAGCTCCTGTGAAACCATATACCGAATTTGCACTAACTTTCAATGCTAATTGACGACCATCGAGCACAGCTTTCTTGAATGGATCAGTCTCTAGTTTAAGTTCTGCTCTTGCACGTTTTCGAGCTGATAAAAGATCTTCTAAAACAATCGCCAGTAATCCTTTTCGTTTAGAAGTCTTCACAAAATAATCTGTCACAAGATAGAATCATGATATAGTAAGCATAATATCGTCTGATCCGCAAAAATGACAAGGATCAAACAAATATTTACCGCCATTGGGAGTGATTATGTAATCTTCATTCTCTACAAGGCCAAGTTGTTTGGCTGTCTTCGCATCAGTCAAAGTAGTATAACAAAGATTATGGGCCATCATGATCGAAGGATAAAGTGATGCGAAATCAAGAGTAGCGATCGGAACATCGTAATAACCTCGAATAGGGTCCATTACAATTGCACCATCAAATTGATCATCGGATCCTTCATATTTCATCGCGGGGACGATGTAAGAAAATTCACCCGCACGACGATAAAGCTGAGAGACGACTTTGATTTGTTGTCCTCTGGATAAGAGGTAATTGAAGGGTACGCCTGTTACACGAGCCATCTCGGTGTAATTGACAAAGCACATGAGCTTGTCCATCAATCGTTGTGGAAGGTACGCATCCTATAGAATCGGTAAACCAACGTCAGTGAATCGCTTGCAAGAGTCCGCAGACCAAACTGATTTGATCACAGCACATCACCTTGAGACAGTAGACAGCCAACCGACGTCGAGACTCGGAGTTGCCATTTTGAAGCTCTGTAATCATCGTATGATGAACGTCTTCTTTCTGTTCCCCTAAATAACATCTTTGACAGATTTAAGCTAAAGTCCCAAAAAATCTTCTCAATTTCACATTTCAGAACAAGGACCAACCTAAAAATTGAGCACAGACTGCATTGAGCGTATAACTCCGTAGTTTATAATCTCTTTGCATGACTTGTAAAAGATCTAATTGAAGTCGTCCATCCAAGTGAGTCTCTTTAGAGTCACGAGTTCCATAAGCTTTAGAAGAGAAATGTGTATCTTTGACTACAGTCTGAATGTCTGTGATAGCAAAGAAAGAGAACATCAGGTGGTGAACTTAAGCAGAAGAAGAAAAATCGGCGCAAGATCAAGTACTTTTCATTCGTCCTAGTTGGGGAAAGGTGTTCACTTTCAAGGCTTTTGCACGGTCAAGCAGATATGGCATATCGAAATTAGTCGTGTTGTACCCAATGACCAGATCCGGGTCACACTCCTCTACAAAAAGCTGCCATTTTGCCAACATGTCTTCTTCCTTCTTGAATTCTATCACTTGACTTCCCACAATATGTGCACATGTGTCAAGGGTGAAAACATTCCTGATGAAAGGGGTACTTGAACCTGAACAGACAAATCTGATTCAGAGATTTACGAGGAAATGGTATCAGAGACCGATGAGACTGACCATGACATGTCACTAAGTTAGCAATTTGAATGACTGGATCGATTTTGGCTTCGGGAAAGATTCCCTTCCTACCTGCACACTCAATATCGTAACTCAGAACTCTAAAAGGAGCCATCTTTGACCATTCACCCTCTGGTGCGTGTGATATAATGGTGTCTGATCTAATGAAGGAAAGTTGTTACTTTCGTTTGGACGATGACAATTTGAACCACATACAAGAGATTGAGCTCACGAAGTATCCAGTTCGATTTGACATTTGGATGCCTGTTTGCCCGGAGATCGCAATTGGTATGTACCAGCGGGAATCTCAATCCAGTTCATCCCCGTGATCTATAATTTTGAGTAGGAAAATTCAACTTCATGTTTCTCTGGCTTTTATCAGGAAGTCTCATCTGGAAGAGGAAATACCTTTTTATCAATCATGAAGCGCAAAGTATATGAGATGTTACTTTCAAAGGTCGTACAAGGTTGAAATTTATCACGAAAGTTAACCTCCCCTCGTTCGAAGGCACCTATTTCGAAGAGTTCGCGGGAACAAAATGTTAGTAAAGCTGTGGTGCATGTTCCTACAAAAAAGTGATCTACCAACTTCTGACACGACCCATATGTTTAAAATCGGTCAGTGATATCTTGAGAAAGGGAGATTTAGTGTCGCCCGTGTATCCCCATAGAGACAATTTATGAGCTACTGTGACACTATGGACGGGTTTGGTGCCCATAGAGAGAGATGACTATTGGATGAGTAATCAATATCTTCCATGAGTCTCAATCTCCTATGAGTATCCTTCACGCTCCCAAATCAATCAGATAAGCGTACGTTCAGTGCAGCTGTAAGATCCTTGCAATCCGAATTTTGCCAATCCTTTGGAGCGGGAACCCATAGATAGGGTAAGAAATCTTGAACATGAGCTAATACGGAGTGTCCTTGTTCGGTGATCCCAAAGATTCGTAACTGAGGTATGTTACTCTGTGATTGTTCATCGATGTCGATTTGCTGGAATACTGAAAAACAGATTGAGTTCATCAGCCAACGTTTTTGATACGAGATGCCAAAGTGGTTGTAAGGACTGACTGATAGACTGTGAGCTTGGGTCTATTGGAGGCAAAGCTGGTCGGCCCCATTGTGATCCGTCCTCTAAAGCTACGATGGATATACTTCAATAGTCAATTATCAGGCGGAAGAAAAGGTTTTGGGGTTCAGGAAAAGTTGCTGACAGCCAACATGGTGAACTTCAGAAGTCGTCGATTCGATCTCAAGTTTTTGATCTTTCTTCGGTTTCTCTTCGTCTATGTCCATGGCATTCTGGTGATCACCTCGAGGAGGGTCGATTGAGGTTGAATTTGTGTTTTGCTGAGAAAGTTTTCTTTTCTTTGATTTCTTAGGACTCATGATGGTTTTGATGATGGTTAATGAAAGGCGCGTTGATTGAAATTGATAGCATTGACGCGCCGGCGCCAGTAGACCTAACCCTTTGATCACTTTTACCTATGTCGTATCTCAACTTAGTCTCAGATATCCATCAGCACCTTCAACTCAGTTCTTATAAATTCTCAACACCTCCCTACTGACCTCAAGCTGTATCCTGCTGGCCCTTGGAGTGTGCTAATGGTATCAGCGTATCCACGCTTTTCTATCCATCAACCCAATTCAGTCATGCTCTCCAATTATTTCGCCCATGGCGTGAAAACAAAGCTTTCCATTCATGGCATTCCTTCTCATGTTCAGCTGTGCCCTAGATATTATGTGGTGGAGGACTAACCTCAATGTTGATCAAGTAAAATCAAGAGTTTGATTAGCCAGAAACAAATTCCACTGATGTGGCATCGGTCTTTTCCCTCCGAGAGTCTCCGTATCATCATACATCCTTAGTGAGGATCACATTGATCCTTGATACGTCTTTCCAACAAAGTTTCGATAAAACTGTCATACGTGTTCCAGAATTCCAAAGACCCACCATATGTATAGAATCAGAAAAGCCAAAAGTTGGTTTGGGTTCGTGGTGTACCCTTACTTGATATTCGAATTATTACAAATCCCAAAAAAAAGTCCAGTGTACAAAGCAATTTTCTCAGTACAATAAAAGTTAAAAAAATCAAGAAAAGAAAAAATTCCAAGAAAAGAGAAAAGCAGGTATATAATTTTTTTGTGGGATCAAGATAAAGAAAGACAGCTTCAATCAAAGTAGTAAAGGACTCAAGTCTATGGTATGACAAGAAATCTCCATATAATACAACATCATCCGGATATGTGAAAATTTCTGAATACCCAAAAGCGCAAATCAAGTCAGGTAAGTTTCTAGACTAAAACATCCAAATATGCCATGAATAAATCGCGAGACCAACTTACTAGAAGATGAATAAATCAGTTGCTTTTGGCCAATAATCCTTAAGGTAGAGTCGGCGTCCCATAACCCACGTACAAAGTAGCGGGGGCTACCTCATTAAAATCAGCTACAGGAATTTCAGATGATTCTCCAGAGTCTTCAAAGTGACAAGCTGTTTCTGGTGTACTACCTCTAACATAAGTTAAAACACCTTCATTGATTCTTATCATATATTTCACTTTTCTTCGTTTTCTTGCTTCAGTACCTAATCCAGAAACATTACTAAATGAGAATCCAGGAATGACCAAAGTTAAAGTATGATGACTAAGTGATACATAAATCAAACCATCTGTTGATCTGATTACTGAAGCTAATGGGATACCTTCATCACAAACAAACCCATCATCACGTTTTTCACAAACAAATGCACAAGTATAAGATCCTGTCACTGGGATCTCTCCCGTATTAGCACGTTTATATAATTCTGTAAAAATTCGAGCCCGGTCTTCGTACTCTGGAAAATTACGATTGATGTCACTAACACTAAGGAGCGAGCGTTGCATTCTAAAAACATCATAATACGTCCAATTACGATAAATGATTTTGGGTCCTACTCCAATTAATGCACTTGCTATTGCTCCTGAGTAGGTGAGAACGTTCGCAGCTCTTGATTCAGATACTCCAGGAATCAAACCGATCGTAATCAATAAACCCAGTACTAAGATTGCGATCGAAAGGACGAAGATCACCAAGACAGTGAAGCGCTCGCTGACTAGGTAGACGGTGCTGTCTAACAGTCTTTGGAATGCCTTCCGGCCCCTATGCCGCTGAGACAAAGATCTTGATGAAGTTCGGGAAAAGGAAAAGGTAACCACTCCTCGACTGTAGGCTGCATCATCAAAGTTTACGAAGATGTCAAAGTTGACACTGATTGGTTCTAGTGTTGGATCAAGTGGAGACATGATAGATCGAACGTTTTTAAGTAGTTGATCGAAGCTACCAATGGACAAAGCGGCTGCTAGTTTTTCGATCTTATCATTCGTTTTGGCTGGGCCACCAAGTGAATCGATGATATGATCGTACTTTTCATCTTGATGTTGTCGACTAAGAATCTCTCGAAGGGCGCGTTGGATGACGACTTGAAGGTCGAGTTTGTGATATTTGTATAAGATAGTCAGATGTTGTCCTATCGAAACTGAAACGTTGGATTGGTTTTGTCCATCGAATTGAAAAGATAATCCAGAAGGACAGAAAGGCTCAAAGGCCAACGGATGCTCCTCTACAGCTTCGGAGAATCGCTGGAATAAAAGTTTCAAAGTGTTTTCACTAAATAATTGATCGATGGTCATCTGTCGAACATCTTCAAGTATTGTCGATGTGAGACTAGTGAGCTGTTGACTATCTTCGTCGATCAGAAATGATAGCAGATTGTTGATGTCAAATGCATACACGATCAAGAGCATGATGGTCAGAAGCGTGTCGGCAACAGAGGTGTCGATGTCTGGAGCCCCCCATTTCCCTACAAACTCCCTATTACCAAGTATGGAGTAATCGTGCCGGTAGCGGAGGTCTTTCTTGCTACCACCTACCAAAAATCGGATCATCTGGTAGTCAAACATGGTAGGCTATGATATGTACGCCAAGCAGGGACGTTGAAGAAATTCTATATTCGGTCCAACTCAATTCTGGCGTGATGGCGATTCGAGTTCAGGCGAGGTATCGAAGATGATGATATGAACTGATGAAGTGAAACATCAACTTCCACAAATAAAGATTGGAGCGATCGAAAGTTGGGATGGATGAAATAGCTCGTCAAAAACAAATGACCATGTCGCTTTAGATCTGAGAGATGACAACTTCAAGTCAGGTCGTCAGGAGAACAAAAGGAAAATAAGAAGATTGTTTCAAGCTAAGACAACAAATGGCGACGACTGTTGGGACTTCACGATCAGGATTCGGAGGGAAAGCGGATTTTTGACTCCACAACAAGTCACATCAGGAATTGATTACTTGACTTTAGCTTGATCAGCTTGATACATACTGAAACTTTCTTCCTATGCTATGTAAGTTTAAAATAGATTAAAATGCGACCATCCTAGGAGTCATCAACAGAGACAAGGGAGCCTTCATCAGTCAGTTTTACAAACAAGAGAAGAGTTGTAGTCTCTTCGAGTCCTTGATGGGTGATGACATAATGCCATGGTTGCTGTTTCAAGCAGCATCATCGGCATGCTTCCTGACTGTTGATACGGCTGGGATGGATCCATGTTACGACTTGCGCGGCAAGAGGTCAGTGATAAATATTTGCCCTCAAGAAATTTGTCAACTCAACCTGCACAAACGTGAATACATAGACAAGAAGCAACGGATGTTCTGGACAACTCAATGGGATAAAGGCCTTTAAAGGCTCACCTTGAATCTCTCCGAGCTACAACAGCCAAAGCGCCGAAGCAGGATTCCAGGGAGAGGGGAGGTGAGCAATATTGAAACTTTGAAAGCAGGTGGGTCCATGACTCATGAGATTGCATTCATTTTGCCTCGGGTGGATCCTGGAGGCAGACAAACCAAAATGAGACCCAATATGTATGTAGGACGCAGTTGATCATTCAAGGGCGTGAAGGTTGGGCGCAGAAGGACTTTCAAGCATTGAACCCTCAACAAGAGCAGAAAATCTCACCGGTGGAAAATCTATGAGCTTGCAACCCAGATGGTGGTGCTCGAGTGACTCCGCAGGTCACGTCTTCCGAATTCAACCCGTGCAAATTGTGACTTTTGAATTTGATTAAACATGACCTCAAGGTTAGGGACGTGGGAGACTCCAATCGACTTCGTATTGCACCAATTGTTTCTGCCTGTTCTGCCCGAGGTCTACATCAAAACAAAGATTCAAGAAGCTTCTCTTGTGCGCTCTTATCCGTTCGATGCGACAATAAAGTATACCAACCCTTCACTCATTATTCTAGTTTTTTTACGAATTGGATTCCAATCTCTTATCGTTTAGCACAACGCGTTGGAGTGCAAATCCAATTCAACAAAGGAATCCTTGCTCTTCTTTCATCACTTGGCTGATTTCTTTGCGTTCGGAGCGGTCATCCTAGTTCGATGAGACTGACCAATGCTGTTAGTCATTCTTGGACACTTCTGCTAGCATTTCCCCATCTGCTTAGTGTCATCAGATCGAAGGAGGCAGTCGCGTTCGTTAACCACATCATTGTCACCCTGAATCCCCAAGAATCAGTTTAGTGCTTCCTCAACTTATTTTGCGGTGTGATGCGAACCGGCTGACCCCTCTTGAGTACCTCGATGGACTTCTTTGATACAACCTTGAAGCATTCACTTGAACACTTCAAAATACACCTGAAAGAACTCGATATATCATGTACAATCCTTCAAGATTACACGAAAATTCTGCCTGACGTGCTCTACGGTGTTTCGATGAGGGTGAAAAGTCCAGCCGATATCGCAAAGCTCGAAGCCTCGTACCATGTAGTGGTACGTGGAAGATCCAGGTCGTCTTTCGGTTAATTCAGACTCATAAGACGTTCACTGACTCGAATTTCTCTCTTGGGCGATGATGTTCAGAATGTGCATAAAGTCAAAAAAATACTAGCCGCTAGACCGACTGAGCGCAGAACCTTACCATCAACGCTCAACTTAACTTCGCAAGCATATCCTCCTCATATGCAGACTGGTGTCACAAGGCTACATGAGCTGGGCCACCTCGGGGCTGGTGTGAAGATTGCAATTTTGGACTCTGTTGTGGATTGCCATCATCCAGCTCTGGGCGGTGGGTTTGGACCAGGCTTCAAGATAGCTTTTGGGCATGACTTTGTTGGCGACAAATATGATGGCACAAATGAACCTAAAGCGGATGATAATCCTTGCGGAGCGTGTAGTGTAAGGCTTCAGATCCAATTTCTGTTGAGATGGGTTGACTGATTTGTGCTTGGCAGGCTCACGGCACTCACGTGACGGGAATAATCGGTGCTTCGAACGTGGGTCAAGGCTTCAGTGGAGTGGCACCACATGCGACTCTGGGAGTGTATCGTGTATTTGGATGTAATGACCAGTCTGCCACGGGCGATGACATAGTTGTGGCTGCACTTTTGCGAGCTCAGAAAGATGGAGCCAACGTCATATCTGCTTCTATCGCAGGCTCAGGAGGCTGGAGTCGAGGTTCCATACTTGAGGACACAGTCAACAACTTGGTCGAGAAGAAAGGCGCCACGATCATCTTTGCTGCTGGCAACAGTGGAGAAGTACGTTTGCTCAAATCAAGGCCCCATGTTTGAAGTTTCAACTCATCCATCATGGTGATCACAGGAGGGTTTATTTTTCGGCCCTAGCCCGGGAGATGCAAAGCACGCCATTTCAACAGGATCGGTTGAGTCAACTGGAATCATCTCCGCGACCTTGATGACCTCCACTGGCCGCGAGCTGCCCTATTACACCGCGGAACCCTTTTCGGATTTTTCAGGCAAGTTCCCGGTGTATCGCACAGGAAACTCTACGGACATCATGACGGATGCATGTGAACCGCTTCCGTCGACCACGCCAAACCTGACAAATTACGTTGTACTCATCCGTAGAGGGTAAGTTACCCGCATCTGCTAGAACATACTTTAAGTAATGACATCTGAAGTTACTATTGAATTGTCGCGTTGGTCACGTAAGAACATGCTTCTTTTCTATCAAGGTTAACAATGCAAAGGCAAAAGGTGCCAATAAGATACTGTTTTATTCTGTTGGTCAAACGGTTTCTCTCGTGTCAAAATTCAAACTCTGAAAGAACATGTATGTGAACTATACGCGATTTATCTTTCAGAACACGACGACGTTCCCTTCCCTACCTAACACGATGAATGACACTCGCGTCGCTATAATGACCCGACAAGACGGCGAATACATTTTCCAACAATCCAAGAAGGATCCCACTGGATTCACAGTGCGATTTCCAACCGATCAAGTGAAATTTTGTAGGTCACAATGGCTTTATCAACATTTTCTATAGCCGTCAACTAATATCGTTCTTATAGTACCTGGTCCGGGAGGTGGCTTCATGAGCAATTTCTCGGCTTAGTGAGCATCCTGTCATCCGTACCTCTCATCCATCGTCATTCCCGGGGACTGGCACTGATGTATGGATTCCATCTCATTGCCAATCAGTGGTCCCAACTTTGATCTTGTGAACCTACACCCCGATGTCTCGGGGGTAGGAGGCCAAGTCGTCTGTGAGTTCCCGTATCCCATCCATGCATACATATGATTTTTCTCATCTCGAAGGATGTGACCGTCAGCGACTTTCCCGAGGATCAACGGATCATATGTACGTTGTTCAATCTTACTTTTGCACCATGATGTTCGTACTGATTAGAAAATCTAGTCTTCGGATAGCGGCACATCCATGGCGGCACCACAGGTTCGTCATTCACTTATTTCGCAAGATATACCGATGACTCATACTATGCATCTTTCAACTAGCTCGCCGGCATTGCAGCTTTGGTTCAAGCTGCGCGAGGGAAAGAGGTACACGGTAGTGCAATGCGGCGAAGATTAGTTTCGACGGCACAACCTGTCCCAAATTTTTCGAATACCTCCAGCCTTCAAAGTATGTCACGCGTGTATCGATATGAATCGGTCTACTGACGCTTCGTGCTCTCATCTTGTTTGTCGTAGCCGTCGTCCAGCAAGGAGGTGGATTGGTTAATGCTTATTGTGCAGTACTGTCGAATACGTCGGTATCGGCTTCTGTCATCACCTTCAATGATACCCCACGCTTCAACGGCACCCAGACCTTTAGAGTCACTAACCACGGACCCATCCCTGTACATTATGTGCTTTCTCACCACCCCGCCTCGACCGCGTATACATTTGCCCATGGTGAGCTGTATGCTCGTCCAAACACCAAACTTGTGCAGGACATGAATTTCGCCTTAGTAAACATCTCTTCTGAAGAAATTTACCTTGAGCCTGGAAAGTCTCGATCCGTGGAGGTATCATTGATACCGCCTGATGTGGATCCAAGCTTGCTTCCCATCTATTCTGGCTACATCCAACTGGTGAGATCCTTGGATCTCATACGCCTATAAGACTATATCTGACTATGTCTAAGTATGAAGAAAGCAAATCAGGAATGTGAAAGTCATAACATACCTTACTATGGCGTGGTGGGATCCATAAGCCATCAAAAAAGTATGATTGATTTGCTCTCTCATCCATCCACCCCATAGCCATGACTGACATACGTTTTTCAGTCATTGATCACGGACCTGCGCTTAACACTACTCATAAATACCACCTACCACACCTTCAGTTTCCGGCTAAAGATAAGAAGAAGACTAAAATTGAAAAAAGTGGTGTGATTCTGTGGAACAAAACCCAACATGAGGAATTACAAATCCAACATCGAGCAAACTGTTGAGTTTCCAGCCAGTCTTGACGTACTGTTATCTTCCAAAGCTGAAGTTTTCTATGATCTAGTTGGAAGCCCTAACATCCGGCTTTACGTTGTTAAACACGTGGAACATCACACACAAGCCCATCAGACTAAAAAGTCACATTCGAAAAAGGTGTCAACTAAGTCTATCAAAAACAAGGAGAAAAAGAAACAAGACAGAAAGCCGAAACATCCATCGCACGAGCACAAAACATCACCCCACAAAAAGGCAAAATTCGCGAAAAAATGTTCCATGGGCAAGAAAAAGTATCCACACAAGTCTTGCCACGGTGTTTTAATATTGGGTGAAGTCCCTGGGGTCGAATGCACCGCATGTTATCGCTCGTCGTATGTTCTCATCTCAAGGGCTTTTTACATCCCATATAACTGACGAGTTTCTGTCGATGCTTTTGAGAATAGTGTCAAACGTACGTGGTTAGATACGTGGAACGGCACCATATCTTTGGGAAAAGGCAAGCCACTGAAGCATGTACCTCACGGGGAATACAGGATCTTGATAGAGTATGGGACATTCAATCAAAATTTATCTTTGTAGACAAAAGCTGACTCATCAATCATTGATCGACATTTTCTGCTAGAGCGTTACATTCAAACTCTGACCCGAAAGACCCAGAGAGCTACGATTCCTGGTATTCTCCTGTGATAGTAATTCACACATGAAACCACCTGCACCATTCTCACCTTTTTGGCTTTCACCAACAGCCTAGACCATTCATTGTTGAACTTCTTACCTCAAGTTTTATAATCTCATTGCATACTGCGTGACTATAGCCCAGTGAATGTGATACCTAATTATCCCATTGCGGAACCCTACATGTGAATAAACAAAGCTGTCATTCTTTCAATATAATGCATTCATTCATAGTTTTGATGGGTACCACTCATGGTCAATATATTGCTGAAGCTTCACAAAATGAGTTTGGAGAAAAAATCCCTTTGTAGCTCATCAACTTGTCTCCTATGTAATCCCCTATATGTTCGGGGGTGCGACCAATCACGTAAATTTTGGCGCCAAAAAAGATTATTGGTCTTGAGAACCACCTCAAAAATCTTGGACCCAGAGGCTTTTGCAGGCATGATCATTACATATTCTTAGATTGGGCTCTGCTCCTCATTGTGCAGGCATTGATTTCAACTCAGGATGATATGAGTGGTCACTGGTAGAGTTTCAATAGGACAGGCTGACTTATTTATCTTGCATGGTATGTTTTGAATTGTTGACATCTTTTGTGAAACTTAGTTTGTCGCGCACAGGCGTGCACAAGCATTTGACCTTCTCTCTGGCCTGAGACAGCGTGCAGTCTGGCTCTCAAACCTGCCCCAGTTAAAAAAAACCCGGTTGCCCCAGTTGATTTTTACACTGGGTCAACCGGGTACATGTAAATAAAAAACCTTTGTCCAGATTTCAGATGTGCAAGCAGCATACAACAACCAGCCAGATGCCTCCCAAACCCAAAGCCGCAACTTCTCAATCGCCCCACAATTCTTCCCACATACACCCAAACTTACTGGCCAATTCTACTTCACCCTCGCCGAATACCGTTATATCGCCGAACGCAAGTATCTCCACTCTCACACCAACTTCGGCAAACGGAAGTCCAGGCCTTTCGCCCTCTGTATCGATATCAAGTACCGACTTGATTCGTTTAGGTCATGTTTTGACTACAACTGGCCTTTCTGGTACTTTAACCCCAAGTCAGAATCTGTTGGCCCTCCCAAACTCGACCCCGCCATCACTCCTTACCTTGAATTCACCTTCTCTCAATCTTGGTTCTCAAGAAACATCAGCACCATCCTTAAATACCACGATGGACGAAAGGACCTCGTCTTCAGTTCCTGCCAAACGATCAAGAGGAAGACCAAAGAAATCAGAAACACAATCAAAACTGAAAGAAGCTGAAATTGACCTTGACGATAAGACAAGTCAGGCTTCGTGGTTTGAAAAACAAAGTGACGGCTACTCCGACATGGATATCATCGCTCTGTGGTGTTCTGATGAAGCTAACTTCAACCGTTGGCGAAATCGATTCCCCAGCAAGAGAGCAGTGGCTGGAATCATCGCTGCTCACTTGAAAGAGATGAATCATCGGGAGAGACCGGCAAAGGAAGTTGAAAAGAAGGTATGTAGTTGTGATCTTCTACTTTTTAAACATCAGCTGTTGACATAAAGTAACTTACTGTAGGTGCGAATCATCGAGGAGAAATTCAAGGAGGCACAATCAAAATTTGATTCAACTGGTCAAGGTGTTCTAGACCGCGAAGATTGGGTCATACAGCTGGAAGAAATGAATGCGGTTTCGGTTGATCATGATAGTGAGGGAGGAAAATTGATAACACGTAACATTTATCAAACTGGGAAGATACGGAACCGCAAGGGCAATGATGGCGCCAGTCCTATAGGTATGTACATTATTTCTTCTTCAAAGTTCTTCATCAAACTGATCAAAGTTCATCTTTTAAGAGCAAGCTTTGTCAATATGTCCTTGGTATTGCATCCTGGAACCAGTAATGCTCACGCGACCCAACGTAGTACCAGAATCGACTCGCGATTCCTTAGGGAATAGTTCTTTCAGTGATCTAGCCTCGGATTTGAACGTGAATCGTGGTAGGAACTTCGATATTGGTGATGAAAGTTTGAAAGATGAAGAATTAGAAGAATTAGATAATGACAGCTTGGCAGAAGGCCATCAAGATGGCCAAGCGTCACAGTCCTCTCAAAGATCATCCAAAAGTAAGTGTGTTTAATTCGTATTTTCAGATCTTGAATTGACCTATTTTCACTTTAATAGAAGCACGAATGGATTCTAAGAACTCAATCAAGAATAGCCCCCGCGACCATTTGGGGTTACAAACCCTCATGGGTGAATTCTTACCGTCCAAAACCGAAAGAGCCCGCATTGCCCAACGCGAAAATAAAAAGGATGAAAGTCAGCTTAAGTTAAACGGCCAGATTGCAAATGCTATTACTCAAATGTCTGCGAACCGTAAGGATGATCTTCAACTCAAACGCGAACAACTTAGAGCGGAACTGGCTACAAAATTGATGGACCAAGGTATGAACTTCGATGAGGCCTTCCAAAAATCACTTTTGATGTATCCAGATCGAACAGGACCAATCGAAGGAAACTCACTAGATCATGATTTGGAGGACTCAGAATAAGGATTGTCTGACTAACCCATATCAAATTAGACTCTTACAAATATCTTATTATCAAATTTCTTCATCTTTGTGGTTAGTTCTTCTTTATGATCAGATTGAACCAAATTTCAAGCGACTATGTCCAATTCTTTTTTCATTACTGTTTTTCTCTCAAAATCCAAAGTATTTAGTGATTAAAAACTTTTATTCACTATTTTCAAATACCTAAAAAATCTTTCTTTAAAAACAATTTGATCTCTTTATGATTTCAAGGCACTATGTCAAATTCTTTTTTCATTACTGTTTTTCTCTCAAAATCCAAAGTATTTAGTGATTAAAAACTTTTATTCACTATTTCTAAATACCCAAAAAATGTTTCTTTAAAAAAAGTTTGATCTCTTTATGGACAGTTTTTATCTTGATGAATAGATAAAAACTTATTTGAGATAACTGAAATAACAAAAGTGCAAGTTTTTTTCATTCCAAAATCTCCCAAAACTTGTGAAATCAGATACATTTTTTTCATCAAAAGGTTGACATAGTGAGCTTCCATTAGATCAAAAACAAACAGAGAGAGCTACAACTAAATAATTTCAAAGGCAGAAAGTTATTAGTGAGGTCATTTGAAAAAAAAAAGAAACAAACGATAAAACCAGTCAATCAAAAGAAAGAGACACAGGTTTGAATTCAAAGTTTATGTCAAATCATTTGAGATAAAATCTTGAAATAGCTGTTCTCGTCTTTGTAATGATAATCGTGAGTTCCCCAAAGATGCTATGCGCTCATCGTCGTTACTAGGTATCGGTTCCCGATGCATTTGCCAGTTGTTGTCTTCAAAGGTTGAGTTGTCGCCTCGAATATGCATGAAGTTGTGAATTACACAGCATGCTGAAAGCCAGGCAGATGCTCGGCTCGCGCTTTTCCTGTTCTTGATGAGGAGGCGAGACTCTTTGACAGATTGAGTTCGACCTTTCAACATTCCGTTAGTGTGTTCTGAAACAATTCGTTCAATACTCAAAGCGTTATTGAACCTTCTATGTGCCCGGTCAAGTTCACCATTCCTTGGACTCTTGAAAGCCGGTACTATTCGTTTGGAGGAACTATAACCCGAGTCAGCGATGATGTACTCGCCCTCACTAAAAAAGTCTTCTATATGCTTAAAAAACTTGATTCATTTGGAATCAGCAGATATTAAAATGTACATATTATAACAAATGACTTACCTCAGTCGATTTCAGGACACGTTGGTCATGCGCTGATCCGCACCACCCATGATGAGCGTAAATAATTCGCTTCCGATGATCACATATGATCAATGAATTGAGTGCATAGAATGACTTTCGACAGTAGTAGTCCTCAGGGTTCTTCTGAGGAGCGTATGTGAGTGGAATCAGGGTTCCATCAATGAAACCAACACAATCTTGGAAGAATGAATTTTGACCAATTTCCGTCTTGATAATCTTTCGTTCTTCAGGTGAAGGCCATTTGATGTATTTCGCTTCAAGTTCTACTAATGCCAAGATACAACGGTTTGTATAGTTGTCCACACTCCCCTCTAAACCATGAATCAGAAACCTCTACTTAAACAAATCAAGATGAAGGAAATATAATCACCAGCCATTGAGAAAAGTTTGGCAATTATCGGACCTTGACCACCATTTCCAGAAAGGCCAAAGTTAGCCAGCGCAACCAAGAGCTGCCATTGAACTAGAGCTTGAGGGTAGTTTGAGTTGTTGTGGAAAACCGGGTTTTCCAGAGATCTCGTGTGCAAGAGCCACAAAACTTTCCTTGGACATTCGGGCCTATGGGAGTAGAACAAACATACAAGCATACATTTTTCAGTAATTCAGGACCTGAACCAAGGAAGTGAATGCGACTTACAACAATACCCCATGTCCGATCACCTTCGTTGAACCATTCATCGAAACACTCTTGCTTTTTACTTCGGCGTGAAAGACGTCCAATTCGAGGTACCAAATATCGATTGGTGTGAACACGATGTATACCGTAAGCCAGAATGGCTACCATCGATTCGTCTTCCAAACGTTGACGCTTGCGAGAGGTACGTAAAGTATCGGAAGCCGCCATACTTGATAGGAAAAGTTGAGATGCAAGTATGAGGAGGTCATCGGTGGAGTCAAGCTGATCTAAGATAATAACAGCTGCCATGATTGCCGCGAAGTCGCTAGGAGTTGTGCGTGAGTCGTTGTTATGGTTGGCCAGTGAGGCGACCTGAAGGGCCAAAAAGACCTTCATGTAGGCCAGCGCGTCGCTACGGCGGGTTGACTGTGGCATTTGAAGAGAGGAAAAGGGCGTGAGATGTGGAGTTGGGTCGAGGAAGTGGGTATTTGGGTCTGAAACCTGAACCCTTGACCCAGTAGACCCGGTTACCCTCGGTTACCGCCAAAGAATTAACTGGGGCAACCGGGTTTTTTTTAACTGGGGCAGGTTTGAGAGCCACTAGTCTCAGACTTGAAGTCACAGTGATCGATTTTTTGTTGACACCGTTCTCGTCCTCAGCATTCACTCAGTCCATGGCTAATTTTATCAACTCTCTTCATCGACTACTACCCAAACATCAGTCATGTCGTTCTTTCTCATCTATCCCATCACTAGGAAACTCTAAGAAACCAAATAGTTATAATTACAATCCCGACCCTTTCGCAGCCGAACCTCTGCCAACTGGACTTCAGAACTTTCCACGGAAAACAGCTGCATGTCTTGCTAACTCAAGCTCTCGTCGTCCTCCACGTCGAGTGAAATTACTTTCACGTGAATTTATTGAAGACTCACTCTGTAATCCACATTATGGTTATTTTGCTACTCAAGTCGAAATTCTTGATAGTCCAGAAGGTGGAATTCCATTTGGAAAATTATCAAACTTACGAGCACTTGAAGAAGAGATCGCTAATCGATATGGACCTCGTCAAAGTTGGCATACCCCTACCGAACTCTTCAAGGTCTGCTACTCTCACTTTGGCCGATCACCAATTCAAGCCTAGCATATAACCAACCCTCGATTGACTGAACTCGTCCATGTAGCCATGGTACGCTAATGCAGTTGCACGCTGCCTTCTTTCTCGTCATCAACCGAATCAACCCCTTCGTATTTACGAAATCGGAGCGGGGAACGGTACATTATGCGAGGGAGTGTTGAATTATATCCGAGATCATGCACCCACGCTTTATAGTCAGACTACCTATACCATTGTCGAGGTTTCAGCACGATTGGCTGGAATTCAAGCAGCTAGGGCTTCGAGAGCGGGACATAAACTTGAGATCATCCCTCATAATGTTTTTTCCCTTCCACAAGAACAGGGAACTTCAACCAGCCCGATTGAATCTGAACCATGCTGGGTGATTGCTATGGAACTTGTTGATAATCTTGCAAGAGATGTGGTTCGATATGATCGAACGACAGGAGAGGTATTGGTGGCAAGTGTAGGAACAGATGAGAATGGGGAATTTCATGAATTCTTTGAACCGATCTGTGATCAAGTCAATCCAAGTTTATCTCGATACTTACAACATCATCAATTAAGATCAAAATTAACGTTATACGATCGGATCATGACTCACCTGCCTTTTGCTGCTAATCTGAGTCAAGCCGAATTTGTTCCTACTCGTACTTTTGAACTATTAGAGATCATTCGAGATTGGTTTCCAAATCATAAGTTACTTCTTAGCGATTTTGATCATTTACCACAATCTATCAAGGGTATCGGAGCACCTGTTGTTCAAACTCGATATGAAGGCATGGTAAGTCTGGAAATAGATTCTTATCAATTCAAACACTGCCCAATGAACTGATCCGAGAAAAACAAACCCAAACAGACCGTTCCTTGTACAACCTATCTAGTCCAACCTGGTCGATTTGATATCTTCTTCCCAACCGATTTTGACGACTTCAGAAAGCTATATCATCGAATCAATCCTTCCAGACCAAAACTGCAGGATTTTTCACATGCTGAATTTGTGAGTGAATATCATGGAGGTGATTTCGAGAAGACTTGCCTAAGTGATGGATCGAACCCAATGGTAGAGTATTATGAAAATGTCAAAGTCGTCGTATCTGAATAGTTTATAGGTCTAGGGGAAGTAATTTTTATGTCCTAGTTTTGATAAAGATCAATTGAAAAGATCTCCTAGAAATACTTGTAGCTACATAATTAGTTTTCTTTTGCTTTGTCTCGCACGTATGCACGGGAAAATAGACAAACTTTTAGCAAAAATAGACCTGAAAACCTGGACAACCTGCTTCTTTCTTTCATCGCCAGTCCAAAGTTCACGACTTGATTGTGAAAAAATTGTCCATATACCTGTTTCACTATAATCTTCATGATGATCCAGTGGGGGTTCTCTTCAGGGCTCTGACTCATAATAATATTATATGTTTCATGCCATGTTGCCCACTTTGATTTGATATTCAATGTGCTACTTATTAGACATTGTACGCATGTGGCATAAAATTGTTGATGTGCCATCCCTGATGCATGAGAGGGCGCCTGATGCGGCTTTGGCGCAGATCTTATCCATCATTTTTGATCAGTGATCACACTTCAACAAGTGGTCAATTGGAACATGGACAACACAAATTGTCATTGATTATGGTGATTGATCAAAACAAAAAGTGAACTAAAAGAATGGCTTTCTGTGAACTATCAAGCTTGCATTTGCACGGTAATGGGAGCTACAATGGATTTCACAAGCAACAGGGCCATGAATATTTACAATCTAAAGCTGCCATACAAGCTTGTCTGTCAGCTCAGGTTCAAGAAGGCAACAGATCAATGAAACTCCAACAAAAAAGAAACCATCAATTTCAAGAGACATGTTAATGAGGCAGAAAGCAAATGCAACAGTGACATCTTTTTATCATGTTCATTAGCTTGTAAAAATAATCCTCTTCATCATTTTATCCATCAGATTGGCTAGAACAAGATAAATATTCATCATCATCATCCAATCCATAATTTTGGTAAGGTGGAATGATTCCACTCTGATTGATCAAAACTTATTTTTGATAGACCATATCAATCAATTGACAATTAGCATGAAATCAAGATAATTTTCAAAAACTGCCGCTCATCTAGAGAACCTACTACATACGCAACCGACTTGATTGTCTACATAACACCATAAAGAAGTGCCATGTGGAAGGTGAACTGAGTAATTCGATTATCCTTTGTAAGGAATAATTGGTTCACACGGATACTATCTTATTTGTAGATCTATTGCGAAGGCCTGATTAGAATAGCCTGTAGGATAGCCTAGCTCTTTTACTACTGGTACCGCACATCGAGTCTAAATGTATCACTTGCTATACTTCCAGCAAAAGTCTCAAGTCTCTCAGGAATTTCGCGTCGTAGGTTTCAAAAAGTCCTTCAATAAGCAAGAAAAATTCTTTGGATTTCATGACACCTTTCCACCAGTACCAAAAAAGATAAAAAACGAACCCCCCTGCATATGATGGCGCCTCAAATATATACCAATTCAGTGAAGAAACTGGTACAAGATCAACGTGAAATGTGAGGAGACAAGGGAGGTAGAAACAACGTTGAGGAATATGTTTTGACTGGCTTATGAAGCTCCATGCAAATCAGATTCCCGCTGATTGACCAGATAAAAAAACTATTCCAGATCAAAGCGTTTGCGGCGTGCCGTGCAATGACATTAAGGCTTTCAGAACTTTGTCTTGGTCCAAGCTGTCTCTGCTAGACCGATCTGAAGAACGTAAAAACAGATAGGATGTGTTTCAGGCGGTAGATTGCTTTCTCAGATAGAACCAAGATTGAATACTAACCCTGTAATTTTCTGAATCATATACTACATAGTATCTCTCATGGCCTTTCATGCCAACTACAAGTCCGCTCGATATGAGTCAGCGAGTCTTGAATCTCTCGAAAAACCATGACTCAAAAACTTACAGCTGAATGATGATTTCCCTGAGCCTGGTGTGATGAACGAATAACGATAGGTGTCATCAGGAAGCACGCCTTCAGGTACCAATTGAGCTTCAGGAGTGAAACACCAGGGGCGCTTATCACTAGCTGTGAAGCATAAGTCATTCATCTGACTGATTGAAGTCTTTGGGATCTTTAAGAGGTGGCGGTTTACACTCCAATCCGGATTATTCTTGGCAAAATCATCAGCATCCCAAATTGCACCCGGTATCTCAGCTAAATACTTGGCAAATAGGTCATCGGATAGAGATGGTCCAAGTGTGAGACCTAGGGTTGATCAACCTTTTTAGAATAAATCTATCGACTTGAATCTTTATGATTGTGGTGAAAGTTGTCAAGCTTACCAGTATCAAATATACCTCGGATTGGGCCTGAACTTAGCTCTACTTTTCCATAAGTTACGTCGACCGTCCAATCCCACCAACTACGGAATGATTAAAACATCATTTATCAATTCATTGTAGTGCGGCTGCATAATATTGAGAAATTCATGGAAAATACCCACTATCCATCTGTTTGGCAACTATACCAATAGATCTGGCCAATAAATAGTGAAGGTTCAATGCCGCCAAATGTAATAAGTCCATTTTTTTCTGGTGTCATCGAGCGTGTGGGTTTGAAGGAGACCTAGCGTACAACATGCGCAGAAATGTACAGGTCAATAGCATGCAGAACCTCATCAGAGACGTAAAACTCACCGAGAACATGTTCTTTTCAAGAAAACCACCACTCCACATGTACGCCATCAGTGTTTGATTTTCGATCACCGAGGGATCCTTACGCGGAACAGGATTTAATCCTATTTGCCCGTCGTAACCGTCAAGTCCCTGAAGTGATGCCGCGAGCGAAGTGTCACGCGATAGTCACAGCATAATGGCTATTATTCTCTTGACTCACAATACGTGAGAAAAATCAAGAAGCAGTGTTCATCACTTACAACGGAAGTGGTAGCGTTTCCGATGGTCATGTTTGGTATCTCGATTCGTGCACCCCCATTCCCCGACTCAAAGGTGATGGTGTCATTAACGTAAGACCCGTCTACATACCCTACTCCATAGTTGATGTGCATGTGCAAGTTTAGATTGACCGTCGATTTAGTCGCAACGTAAGGTGTTATGGCTCCACACCATGCTACAAAAGAACCGGTATCAAGGGCCAAATCGCGGAATTGAGGTGGTTGGCCTATGCCCATCGGGACGGTGTAGAGGTTGATGGTATTCGTCAAGGGAACCGATACTTTCGACCGTGCCACAACTCCGTGGCTTACTAGAGCATGACTTGCAAACCACACTTTCCAACGGAAGTTCATACTCAAAATTTTGTTGGAAATCGCACCACACAAAGTCAAAAGAAATCTACTGGCAACTATTAGAGTAAGTCTGCGACGATTTTCGCAATGCTTGAAAAATATAAAGAGGAGAAAGAATGATATAAGTGACTTATATTTATCGTAGGCCAGAGATGAGGTTAAATCCAGATGCAAATAAGATTGGCTCAGCAGGACTCAGCTTGTTATCCAGCTAATTAAAACCTTTTGTATTTGTTGCAGTTCGTCGCAATAATCAACTCTGAAGGTCGCGCGTATCATCGGAGCCTGTCAAAAGAATTGCATATATTCCTATATATTCGTATATGTCAAATCGGTCACCAATAATAGATACCGCCGCGTATGTATTTTTGGAAGGCTCTCCACTTTCCTTGAGGATTTTTCATCTTTTTTTGGGTGGTTTTTAAATTTTGACTATGATTAACAATCTAGGTCATCAGCCCCACCTTGAAAATCACGAATATATCTGATAAATCATGAGACGTGCTTGATGAAAAAACCATTCAATGAGGAGCTCACAGGGCCTAATATTAGACAACAGGTGATGATATGCGTTTGAATGAGGGTAATGTATTCGTCACGGAAGCAATCGGTGCATCGACGGGGAATCAGAGGGAGCAGCGCGTAAAAGATCACGTCAGATTGCCACGTTTGGAAGTATAGTGGAAAGACTCGCTCGATTATCGATAAGCATTGGCTCAGCATCCAAGAAATGATAAGGATGAGGCCGCGTGCGATGGCTGCGCGCCGCTAAACTTATCAATTTTTGGGCTCTACGCTACACACCACTCATTCTGCCACGCTCCCAAGCACCTCGAAAGATGCGCATGGAATAGGGCTATCAGATGAGCTTGGTCTGACCCCTGTAGCTTGGCTCACTGCGGCGTAAATCGCAAAGGCGCAAAAAGTTTTTTGGGCCCCCAAGGCCCAATTCCGACCTTTGATTTTGGCTAGTTTTGGGCTTTACACTTGAATATCTCGGGAATTATCGGTGCTATGGGGTTAAAAGTTAGGGCATATGAAAGCTCTGCTTCTTGCGCTTCTTTTGTGCTCCTGTAGCAAAAGAGAAGTGTGATTTTGTACCAAAAAGATTTGTTACAAAAAGGTTGGAATCTACGTCACTATTACCTTTGCTAGAAAGGTTGACACCTTGGGCCCGTTTTTTTTTATTTTTTTTGGCTGCGCCCGCAGCACTGCGCTGCAGCCGCCTCTCAATCCACTTGAAATCGGGCAACAGTCACATCCGTCACCTTTGTCACCGCTCTCGTTTCCTCCATTCAACGATTCAACCTCTCGATCAAGCCATTTCAACAAGCGTTATTATATGGATTCTATGCCCAATGCTGCCAGGCAATCCAACAAGCTTTAGTACATTGACTCTATGCCCGATGTGGGTATAAACCTTTTGATTGGATTAATAGAGACTGAATGATCTTTACTATCATCAATACTATCAATTTCTCAGTTTGCTTCTTCAAGATGCTCGAGTTAGAAGTTGTAGAGATGTGATGTGGCTTGTTTGCATGAGCAACTGATTTTTTGTTGAAAATTTCTCAACTATTATTCGCGTTCTCTTGTTATCAAGTGAACAATCTTTGGAATCAATCACTTGATTGAAATTGATAACTTGCTTTGAATCAAAAAAAAAAGACAACTCAAGACAATTTAAAAGTGAGATAGGAGGTGACAGAGACTTCACTTGACTTGTTCTTTGTGAGAATGATACAAAAACTTCACTGTATCATACAAAAACTCTTCACGGGTTCCTTGGAAGAACGATTCACAAAAAGCGATTCATAAAAATCATTGTTTGTGCCAAGATGCAACAATTCAAAAAACACCGTTTATTCCAATTTGGGCACCGATTCTTTCCATGAAAGCTGACCCCAAGTTTCTTCGAAGTCTGGCGAGGTTGAAGCTTGAGTGGAATGGCAAGGTGTTTATTGGAGGGAATGAAAGCGGTGACGAATGTCCATGTTGCTTGATTTCAAGTGGATCAAGAGGCAGCTGCAGCGCAGTGCTGCGGCAACACCTGAAGCGACCCGCTTTGATCCGCTTTTCGGCGGGTTTTTTGTAGAGGGGCGGTATACCGCTACATAGTACAGACGAAGATCACCCTCGATCCGCTTTGGAAAAAGACCCGCTACATGGGTAACAGAGCGCGGCGCCTATCGGCGCCGCCCCTCGCTCCACTTCATCAGATTTGAGCGTAATGGAGCGGCACGAGGCAAGAATATATTCACAATTTTTTTTCAATTATTCACATGCAAGAAAGGTATATGTACAATATGACAGAATAAAACAAGATCAAATATCATATATAAATAAGTTATCAAAGAGCGACTAGAAATATAAGTCAGAGAAGAGAGTCAGAAATTAACGAGTGACATGATAAAAGAAAAGATAGAAAAGACAAGGGAAGGTAAGATGATAGAAAGATAAAGTAAGAGATCAGAAAATAAATCAACTATTAATGAGAGTAAAAGAAAAGTAAAAATACAAAAAGATAAAAAGATAAGAAAAGGATCAGAAAAAGATGATCGATCAGATTGATTAAGAAATTGTTTTTTTGTGAGCATGTTTTTCAAACAACACCAAATAGTCAAGGCTGTCAGAGAACTTGTCATTGGTTGAGATACCTGATCTCAGCCATTCTCTACATCCAACAGCCCGCGAAATAGTTTTAGGTTTTAATGACCCGCGTCCAGGAACGGCAATGTCGGCCGCCGAAGAGAAAGTACGCTCCTGTGCACAGGTAGTACCGGAAATGGTGAGGTAGTCACAGGCAAGTGTGGCAAGTACCTTGAAGTCAGAAGCATTTTCCTGTCACAAATAAAGAGAAGGGGATGAGTCAGCTGTTCAAGACAGGATTGAAAAGAAGACAAACAAACCTTCCACCAAATCAGCTCCTGTTGTCCAGGAACAATCAGATTGGTGCCTTGAAGATAAGACTCGAGTTTGCCCAAACGGATTGATTCAGAAGATTGAAACGTGGCAGTTGAGGTGAACAAGTCGAAGTGATCGACTTCGTCATTCAAACCTGGAGAGGGAGTTGGGGCTGGGGTAGAGGCTGGGGTGACTGGCCAACTTCTCAAAGCTGACTCAAAGGCTTCTTCAATGAGGCGCCTGGCATGTCCAGCATAGTCTTTGTAGTGCAACTCAAAGAATCAGAGGCAGTATTTTGGGTTGAGAACAGTTGCCACGATGATCAGGTCAGAAGCCAAAACTTCGTTCTGATAAACCGCGAGTTGACTTAGCATGACTTCCATCATGCGAACGAGACTTGGGAAGGTTGACGTGGTGAGTGTGTTGTTCAAGGACTGGATGACCCAAAGGTACTCTGCTAACATCATTGAACCTGTTATGGTATTACCTTCCATGCGCTTGGTTGAAACGCGGAAAACCTGAATGAGATGAATAAGACACCCAATAAGTATTGGGTTAGAACGTGAGATGGTTAATGGGACTTACCTCTAAGACCTTGCATAGTGATTCCACAGCATCCCATTCGTCCATCGCCATCATGATACCACCGTAGTATCTTGTTTTACGGTCAGCAATGAGGATGGATTCAACCACCTAGAAAAGATATATGGGTCAGTTGGTGCATATTGTTCAGCAGGTGACAAAAACACTTACATCGCGGGCAGCCACCAGTGCAGAATACATTGCAAAATCGATGTTCCACCTGACACCCCACCCAGCAATCGGACCAGGACCATGGTAGTTCATTTGCTTGGCGCGCGCTTGAAATTCACCACGTCTTGCATTGCTACGAGTGAGTAAGGCATTGAATTCCTTCAACTAGAAAGGAATTGATGTCAGCTGGGTCAAACCTTACAAAAAACGGTTGAGAGATACAATAAAAATGCTTACCTTCATAGCACCCTTCACAACAATGCACCCATCGGTTGGAACATCCTCATACGTTGGATAATCTTCGGTGTCTTCCTCTTCATCATGTGATCTTCTGGTACTGGCTTGTGGATCAAGGATTTTGTCGTTGTCATTGGATTCGTCGTAGTTGATTGCGTCCTCAGTCAAGTCGTCATTGAGGGTCACAATGGGAACGGGGACATAAGCGTTAGGCGGGGTAGTAGGCTTGATGTGTCCAGCCGCTAGACCCAAGACTTTTAAACCTTTCTTGACCACCAAACCCAACTTGTGTGCGTAACAGCGGACATGATTCACCGATGAGTCCCAATCAACAGGATCATCACATTCAGAGAACATAACCTCCATCTCCCAAGCCATCGTGTTATTAGATGAACCGGAGTCTGTTGCCTGACCTATCATGTAATAGAAGGAGATTAAAAAGGAAATTATACAAACAATGTCAGTAATTAGAAGATGACATCGAAAAGGAAGGGTGAGAGCAGATCAAGATAAGATACTTATTTTTTTATGGAGTCCATGTGTGATCAGAAACCGTGCCACCGGTTGGGCTAAGAGGTAGCCAAATTTGTTCCACACGACGAGTTTCAAAGTAAGGTGGACTGTTCTGTACCTCCATTCTTGGTTGATAAAGTTGGCTGAAACACCTATGAAGGCGTATTGATTACCTTTGGTAGTCCAAACATTGTGTTGAAGAGAAAACTTTCCAGTGTTTTTCTATCACAAAGAAAACACGGTTAGATCAAACATATAGGTGAAATGAAAGAGACGACAGAGACAATTACTTACTGAGACTAATGCAATAGCAGCTGAGCTCAAGCTCTGATACAACTCCTTTGCAACACTAGCAGCCCATGTTGGAGTCCTCAAGTCAGCGCGTCAATTAGCCAGCTTGAAAGCTGCTCGGAGAGGCAAGTCATAGAATCGATTAAACGGAAGTGCATGTTTCATGATCCACAACACCAAGACGGTGTTGCACAGGTCTACACTGAACGTAGCTTGTGAGAGGAAGGAGTCAAGAGTTGGTTGAGTAGTGAGATCGGTTGATGTGGCGGCATTTGCTGCTTGCTCTTGAGCCCAGGTAGGAGGTAACTTGCAGCCGGCCTTGATCGCATGAGATCTTCGAGGGCAGGCAGAGCGCCCATTGGCGCCATCACGGTGAGCGTACAGATTGTAGTGGGTGCGAAGGCCACGTATGAACGTGCCCTTGCACCACCTACACTCGAAAGAACGGGGATTGTCACCTTTCTAGAGATTGACGAAAAGAAGGAAACGAAAAGAAAAGAGTAAATAGATGAAAAAAGAAGGAAATGAAAAGAAAAGAGTAAATAGATGAAAAAAGAAGAAACAAAGGAAAAAACCCACCTTGCCCTTGATATGGGTTGGCGGATGGAAGTACTCCAGCAACTGAGAAACCCGGCCTTTTTGAGCGCGACGAACGCCTGATGACTCGACAATTTCGATCTCGGAGTCCTGATTAATATTGATACAATTGGGTATTCCGGTCTGGAAGGTATTGAAGAAATGTTGAACGTCAGTCTCCAAGGTTGACAACAGTATAAGAAAAAAATCAAGACAAGATTGTAACCTACTGGTATACCCACCGCTTTCTTTGCCTTCTTTGCTGGCCCTCGCGGCAAGCCTGCTGAAGCAGCTGAGTCCCTTGGGCGACCCTTACCCTTTGCACAAGACTTCTTCGACTTCTTGACCAACTTTTTTTTCTTTTTGGGTAACATCGCTAAGAAATCCTTGGCTTGAGTAATTTCAACAACAGATTCATAATCAGAGTCATTGTTAACGGTTTTGGAATCAAACGAGCTATCAGGATTGAGACTGAGATCGATTTTGGGTAAGTTGCTTTCGCTGTTACTAATTGAAGGACGATGAACAGAGAGTCGCGAATCAGGAGACTGGATAACATAGCCCGGTTTAGGAGCAGGAGGACTACGAGAACAAAGAACAGGACCAGAAGATGGAGGAGCAAGGTTTGAATTCGACGGAGCCATAGTAGTATCAAGGATAATTCTTTCGATAATCGAGATCGAAGACAGAAAGAGGAAGATAACGAAATGGTAAGTCAGATTTCAAGTTTAGTATATATGGTAAGATGATTACTGATATATAGTTGCGCGTGCTCCAAAGGATGAGGTGAAAAAGAAAGCTTACCTTATATAGGAATCATGAGAGTTGTAAGCACCCTCGTTCTGGTCTTATCAAATTGAAGAAGGAAAGAGGGTGCTGACGTCAGTTCAGATTACAACTAAAAGTGCGATAAGATGGAAGGAAGGGCAAACCACAATCTTACTTTGTGTCGAAAGCCAAACAGTTGGGATATGAGGAGCGTTGATTTGGTGCAGATTGGTCCATCAATGGAGTATATTCGAACGATTTTGGCCAAGTTTTGAAGGGATTTGGCAATGGTGGCTAAGATTTGACGTGATCAAACCTGCGGAGATAGTGAAATGGGGTGGTGGAAGTGGCATCTGGGTCGTATGGGAGGGATGGGGGAGGTCGAAGTGTGTCTAATAGTGGCAGTAGGTGTCCATCTGGCATGAACCGCTGCAAACCACTCTGAGAGGTGCCTGCGGGGCGTAAAATTGACCCGCCTCGCTAATGACCCGATCGGCTATGTAAAAAATCTCAGACTGAGAGCGGTGGCGGGTCGGCTGTAGCCTGATCCTCAAAATACATGTAGCGCCTGCGGGGTATACCGCCCCGCCGGCGCTCCGCACCCGCTTTTTGCAGTGGGCCGCCTCAAGTGTTGCTCGCAGTCCATCTTGAAGCAGACTACATAATGAGAGTGACATATCTCCAAACTGTGATGTCACTCGTATTGCCCAAGCACTGGGGGCTCTCTAAACCATACAATCTGAGAAAGAATATGTACCTGTGACCACTCTTCTCTTGAAGAACAACAGCCTTGACTTTTGACAGAATGCATTGAGGGGCATGTCATTACCAAACCCAGCATACTTACGAAGTCATCTGATCAATGCATGAAGGGAAGTCACTGTGCTCATAGCGCACGACCACATCAGTGATTAAAGGCAGGGCGGTTAATCAGAGTGAGCCGTTTTGGGATCAATTCTTGAGCTTACTTAGTCAACATCTTTAGAATCACTCGCCTCCAGGCGCGCTAGGATGTCAATGAAGTGAAGTATACACAACTTTGAACAGAGTCGAAGTAAAGGGCTTAGCGGAAGCACAGAAGGCGGTATTCTTGAAAAAGTCTGAGGTGAGGGGTGCAACTTAGCAGGAAAACTTCTCAGCTGACCAACTGTGCAAAGCTCACACTTATCATACATGTCAAAAAAGCGTCTCTTAAACAGTAGATCAAAGGCTATGATCACTACCTGTGTTGAATAGGACAACGACATCAAATAAGGGATCTAATCTCAAAAGGTAATTACGGCGGAAGACCGTGACTTCACCAAGGACCTCAAAAGGATGAAAAAATGGCACTTCGAAGACAAGGTCACGTTGATCATCATGATATAAAATTGAAAAATATGATACAATTATAAAAATATGTATTCCAATTCCTAATTCCAATAAACATAACACAAATCACATAACATATCTACCAAGTATTTCGCCACATAGAGGACCCAACAGATGATTCACCATATTCAGAAGAGTAAGAAATATTGTTTGCATGGCATTCATCTACTACTCCACTCTTGATTTCAGGCTTTTCTTCATTTCCAACCCAAAGTTGTAAAGCTTCTCCAACATCTTCACCATCAGCCACCACAAATCCGCGATGCTTCAAACGTGGTTTGAGAATAGAAGTTGGGACTGTTTGAAAGTCTTCATCATCTGGTGAAGGAAATGTGAACAGAAATGGAAAAAAATAGAATAAATCATCTTACTGATTGTTGAAATGATTGAAAGAAAATCAGAATGAAAAAGTAAACAAATAACTTACCTTTGGCCAAGCCCTTCCCTTTTCCTTTAGATTCAACCATTTCTTCTTCCTCAGGCTCCTCCGGAATAGTGTAGAGTACTCTCTTGAGGGGCTTGAATGGGGGCAAGACGAAGTACTATAATGCGAAGTAGGAAAACACGGTGAAAACTGATGAGCTCCAGGGAATCAAGAAGAATGGCAAACACGATTTAGAAACACTCACCAAGTCTATTAAATCAAGTTCCGTGATGCAAACTTTCTTGATACCGCCTTTGATGATTAGATCGGGTTTTCGATGAGGAGATTGGACGCTGCCGTCGGGGTTCATAACCAATGGTGGTCCAGAGTAGAGAGAAGGAGCTTCTGATTCAATACGAGTGGAGTCGGGAGTCTTGAATGATTTGGAGTACCAAGAAGAAAAGTAAGAGGAAACGCAAAGTGGAGAGAGATAAGTCAGCAAGTGAATAGAAGATCAAAAATGATAAGTGGATACATCTACAATACTCACCATAGGAAGGAAGGCAGATCCTTTGGAGAAAGCATTTCTGATAGGGCTTCTGATGCGCAGGGGGCGCTCCAAAATTGGTGATGGTAGAGGGTCCTCGAGGTTGAACATCGCCAGTCTAGCTGGGGAGAGACCACCGAATTCCAACTCCAAAGAGCTTTGCTCGCTGCCTGAGGCATAGCTCTGGAGAAGCAAAAGAATAATAGTGAGAAAGTGAAACGGGAAAGGATGAAAGGATGAAAGAGGTTCAGGAAGTGAATTAAAAGAAACAAGGACTCACTGCATCGGCATCATTGATATTGTTGGTGAAAACTTTCTTGATTCTAAAATTCTTAAGATTGAGGGCAGGAGGCCGCATCGTGATAGTGATCAATCAAAAGGTTGTAGACGAGAAGTTTTGAAGGGAGACGGAAGGGACGGAATATGGAGTTGGGAGCCAAAGTGGTGAGTTGTGGAAAGGTCTCTGAGTAAGAGACACAACCGATACAAGCTAAATGGTGACTGGGAGGATCAGCATCAGTATCAGCTTTGCCACATTTCTTATGTCATCCAGCATTAACAATAATGCAAGTACATTAATTTATCATTTGTACTCCAAATAATGAAGTCGAAGCTGTACAAAATGATTGTGATGCCTACTTTACCAATTTCCAGCATTAATTCGTCAAAATAAAATGTTTGCCCTTAGGTTTCACCCTTACAATCCACTGAATGATCCCGAACATCCAACCCATAATTCCTATCCCTTGGATTGTTGAGCATCAAGGATTCATAGCTTCAATATATGCCTATTGAATGTTTGGTGAGCTTGGCTTTCAGCTCTTTATCTTGCCCACAATTCGGGTACTGATCCCTTCATCACCTAAAATACTTTGACCATATCTGTTTACATTCATTATACCCAAAATAAGAAAACAAAAGCAATCAAGAAATATTTGCTATATTGTCAAACACCAGAATCCTCTTTTTGACAGGAGCTACATGCCTCAAGTCTTGTATCCTGGTTTGATGATCCTAAAATTTTGTCAATCAATCAAGACTTTGACCACGATTGATTAGCAGTCCAAAGATTTCAAACCCTTGGCTATCAAACATATTGTCAGCAGCTCCTTTGGCACGTCGTTTTCAGACATTTGGTTGAACAAAGTCAGTATCCAGTCGTTTTTTGGTCTGGGGTCAAAAAGGTTTTCAAACAAATGTTAGATGAAAGCTTTTGCCCGTCTAAAATCTGTTTTGATGCTTTCAGAGACGTCTCACACGTCATTTTGCAATCTTAAGACGCCCGAAATGACAATCTAGACTCTAGAGAGTCCCTCTCATATCAGTCAGCAATCTGGAACTGGTTATCCTTTTGATTACTCCAGATCCTCCTGACATCGAGTGGCTAGATGTCCTGTACTTCTGATATTAGTTACCTACAGTCTGTACAAATGTTCCTATGCCTCCGAGCCTCTTCCGAAGGGTGCAATGGTAGAAAGATATCTTTTTAGTGGCGTCCCCATAAAGGGATTGAGCGTGCAAGTCATGCTTGAGAGAGGGACTATTCTCTGTGCGACATCCGATCTCTAGGCCATGATGCGATCAACAGTTCGAGTTGATCAAGCCTAACTTGGGATGCCATCGCTTTGATCGCATTCAAGCAGGATGCGTGTGCTTGCTCCTTCCAATCCAAGCTCGAAGCATTGTTTCTATCCTTCGGTAGTGCGACTAAACGCATCATCCAACATGTATGCGACTAGAGCGCGAAATATACAATTCAGGAGGAAATCGTATGTAGAAGAGTCAAGTCGCCTGACGATCAGTCTCCGGGAAGCGCAAATCACGTTTTTGCCCTTGAGGCAGCGGGTGTGTTGCTCCAGCTATAGTCAGGTCAAACGCAAGCCAGATTGCTTTGGTATTGAGATATAATGCTTTGGATGCGGGTAATTGTTGGCTTTCTGGAGATTCGAAAGTGATTGGAAGTGCAATACGAAACATCCGTTGGACTCTGAGCCCTTCGCGCCACAAGATTGCACATCAACGTTGGGTTACAGACGTTTTGCATCGAAACATGGTGAGATAGATATGTAGGTAGCATGAAAAGTGTGAGCTGATGAGAATTGTGCGATCACTACAAATGGGACAAATTGTTCTTCAAGCCGACCGAAGACTTGAATGTCAGTGTGGCTAATATTTGAGGGTATTGGGAGTTTATGCCTTTTTTGACCCCAAATTTACACCTCTTCCTGCATCCCAATTCCCAAGTTCCAACTAACAGTTGAATCATACTTCACATCATGAAAAATCTTTGAGTTTGGATTCTCTTTGATTCTTTGTGCTAGTTTGAAGACAAATCCTGGTGTAAAAGATAGCACACAATGACCTCAGGGACTCACCTTTCTACCAACACTGGGCCAGCTGCGCTGCAACACGCTCCAGCCCAGTTAACCGCAAGCGCAGCTCATTTTCATACGGTCTCGGCGCGTCACGCCGTTAACGCAGCTGATTTTCAACATAAGGGTAAAACAAAATGACGTAGCGCAGCTCCATAGAGTTACGCTACGGGCGTTAACAGCTGCGTTTGTCGATTTCTGGAGGCACGCTGCGCACGCGTTACAGCTACCGCTACAGCGCCAAAGTCGTAGCATAAGACAGAACAGGAAAATAGTTGACAAGATTGTTGAATGAGAGTTTTGAAACTTTAAGTAAACAGATTTAAAGACAGTAAAGACTTAAATACTTGAATAAGACTTGAAATGAAAAAAAAAATTAAGAGAAACAAAGACAAATTCAATGCATGGGAATACCCATCACCTTGAAAACCTTTACAAGATCCTCAAACCCTAAACCAAGGTCTACCCCTTCTCTTAACCACAACCTGCTTGACACAAGCATCTCGATAGTCCGAGCTATCAAACTACCTCGGCTAGAGGCACGAATGTCCGAAGCACATGAGAAAATCCGTTCAGCGGCGCATGAAGAGCCTGTTGACGCTAAGTAATCTTTAGCCATGCGTGCCAGTACCCGATAGCTTTTTTCATGTTGCTGAACAGATTAATCAGATGGAATCAATCTCTGAAGGAATCAATCTATACCGTCACTATCTCCAATGATGAAGAAAGACTCACTTTCCACCATTGCAAACTTGCTTTGGGATCTTGAACGTTATAATCGTCTGCCTTCATTTTGTCAGCACCGCGTGAATAATTCTTCAAGGCCACATCTTCTGACTCTTCAATCTCGGGTTCGTCTTCGGAGTCACTATCAAAGATATCCGGCTTTGGCGACGAAGTTGATGGATTCTTTGATGATTTTGTTTGTTGGGAAGACTTTCCTGGGGCTTGAGCAGGTGCAGTAAGTTCGTATTCCCGGTGGAGACGTCGTAACATTGCCTCAGCATTCATAGTGACGGCAGAGTCGGGTCCAAACCACTTTCCAAAAAACTTCAGGCGGAAAACCGGGTAGAGAATGGTGGCCATGACCAGGGTCTCACACCCAAGCGCCTCGTTCAAATATTCAACCGTCTTCTCTTTCATCTTAGCCAGCATGGGATAGATTGCATCCGACGCGCTGAGTGGCTCGATTTTCTTCTCGAGTGAATTGCGGAGCTCCACGTACTTCGGGATGACCATACATCCCGTTGGTCCGTCACCTTCCATCTGAAGCGTTATCTTCATGAAAGGCTTGAGAAACATGTCATTTCGTATCAAAATGGGTTTGGATAAAAGAAAAAGGAACTTACTTCCAGTTCGTTATTGATCTTGCGAACTTGGGCCCATTCGGTAGTTGTCATTTCCATTTTGTGGAAATAGCCATATGGCTTCTTGTTCTTACGAGCAGGACGGTTCTTAGAATGAACGATGTTCAGATCATCTCGGCATAGTTGATCGATGACCTTGAAGGAAGAAGATGGAGTTAGTTTCAAGTGCAAATTATAAAAAACCTGTGATTACTGACCTCTCGAGCTAGCCACGCTTTGTGGCGGCTTTGGTACTTGATATTCCAACGGATCCCGTATCCCGCAATCAGGGATCCCTTGAAACCCTTCTGAACACTTACTCTTTCAAATTCCTTGCGCCAAGCTGCAGATCGAGTAATACGACGGGTTATGAAATCGACCTGGTTTTCAATTCAAAAATTAAAATGAAACCAATTAATACTGTACAAAGATAATAAATGCATGTTATTACCTTGCGCAATATAAAATCTACTTGATTAGCCTCACGACGGTGGGTGGGTTGCGCTTCATTGTCTTCGTTAAGCAATATTTCAGGACATTGTTCATCTTCAGCATCTGCGGCGTCCCACTCGCCCTCGTCATCAAGCTCAGCAACAATTACAGGTGGCGTTTCGAGGTCTTGTACGTCGTGTTCAATTGCTTCGTCTTCATCTTCAACACGGTTAGATCGAGGTCGGACACTAGAAGACGGTGGTATTATTTGTGGTTCTTCTGCCAATTCATCTTCGTCTTCCTCCTCAATTCGCTCGATAATGGGGAAATGGCCTCGATCGGACTCTTTAACCTTCAAAGGCGGAGGTGCCTTTACACCTAAAGCTGCCAAGCCTGCGTTGACAATCAACGCAAGCTTATGGCAAAAACAAAAAATATGCATAGTATGTGGGTCCCACTTGTACAAGGGCGCGGCTTTTTCGAGAAACTGATGGTGCATTTCCTGGGCCATGGTCTTATTGTTTGACCCAGAGTCAGTTGTCTGACAAAGCATGTGATACAATACATGAAGTCAGCATAAATCATAAATAAGGGAGAAATCGAAAGAAAGAACTTATCTTTTCAAAGAGCCCATGTTTTGCCAAAATATTCACCATGGGCTCTGCGAGCCAAGGCCCATGGTGATGCCACGTTATTAACTTGAGTGTGAGGTGGCGGACTCTGTAATTCCAGTCGTCATCTATGAAGGTCACTGCCCCTCCGATGAAAGCGTGGCGATTACCCTTTGTGGTCCACCCATCGTGAACAAGGTTGAATCTGGAATTGAGAGCCTGGTTTGTATGTATTAGTCAGGTAACATTACTCACCTTTAATTCAGCAAACACATTTTCCCTGAGAGATAAGTTGACCTGCTTGGCCTCTTCAGCAGCCCAACGTCGTCCATATAGATGGGCATCCTTTCGAAGGTATCGAATCATACCTCGAAGGATGGGGTCTTCCATTCGATTCCAAGGCTGAGCTTGGCGGATAAGCCATGTACAAGCCATTTGATTCAGTGTAAGGTTTGAGAAGGTGGTGGAGGGTGTGCTGACGACGAAAGAACTGATTGATCCCTTGCTCTTAGCAAGCGCTTGACGGGTTTCAGCAACCGATGGGGGAACAAAGTTAGGATTGTGCTGGCGAGCTTTGATTCGACCGGGGCAGCCAAC